AGTACGGATGTGTCTGATAATGATGTCTTTGTGTGTAGGTCTTTTTGTTAGACATCTTCTTATCACCTCAGCTCATTCGATTTTCTTTTTGTTTAATCCCATGCAAGATCACGATCTTATCCCTGGCCGTGGTTGCCATTTGAAAGGCAAAGGGATGACACGTAGGATGACAAGGGCTCCATCGATCATCCCAATGCGAGGAAATGAGCTAGAGCGATCGAAAGAAAACTAGATTGCAATATCACGCTGAAGACCAGATAGTCGTGTACCAAACAGAAAGTGCAGTGAACTGAGATACAAGCCGAATAAGAGCAATATGAACTCAAACGTCAATGTCGACACTCTCTCGCCACACCAACAAAGTATCCAGTGTCGCTCTTCTTGTTTGGCGCTCAGCGCCCAGCCTATCCTACTCAACCGCTATACTAGCTGACACTACGTATATGCAACTAGTGTCAAGCAGAAGACCAATTTACGTGACCACGTAGCCAATGCAGACTGCCAGCATACACCAGGTATGTGTCTCTTCTCCTCTCTCCTCACCCCTCTCTCTCCCATAGCGTGCTCTTCCTCCCGAAGACTACCATCGCCCACACCAGCCACCGCACAAGCAGCCCGGCTATGGCCGCTGTGCACCCGCTGCCACCACAGTGACCCACTCATCACATAGCGCCCGTGCGCGCCTCTGGCCAGCGCGTTGGCAGCCTCCCAGCGCCCAAAGCAGCAGCGTGACCGCTCACTGCGCCCAGACAGAATGTGCCCCTGGCTGGGCGCGCACTTTCCTTTATGGAGAGTGAGCCCAGCCTCTGGCTGGCCTGGGCCTAGTGGGCGTGTGCCCAGTGGCTTCATGTTGGGCCAAAGTGTTTGCGTCCAGGCCCATTCTGACATTGGCCAGGGCCCGCAACAGTTAAGCTGCCCAACTGTTTGACGTGGCTACTGTCACTCGCTGCCCTCTCACTGGGCCCCGAGCCTCCAGCCATGTCGCTGCCTGCTCATCGGCCGAGAGGCCAGCGTCCTTGTCATGCCCAGAAGAGCCTGGAAGGCTCATGGAAGATTTCGATGCTGGCGAGCAGGGCATATGTAACTAACTGGCGCGTGGAAACTGTCTGGCGCCCCTCATGCAGAAATGACAAAAATAGGGCCCCATCGGAATTCAGGCCCGCCTTCACTTAGGGCGGGTGCATTGTTTGGTGGGGGCCCTTCGGGCTGGGGAATGTCGTGGCCTGAAGACCTCTGCGAGGGCAGATTCCTCGCGCCAATGAAGGTCCACGTTTTTGAAGAAACAGGTCGGTTGATATGCATCTTGAAAAATACGAAAAGTTGTGAAGGTTTCCGATTGATAAATGCTGAAAGTTGTGAACAGTTTTTTTTTTTTTTTTTCCCTAGAAAGTCTTATTTTGTATCCACACCACCAATAATTTCCAAAAAATGCCCAAAGCCTTTGAGTCTCTGATGGCAGAAGCACGATTTGTTTTTACCATACTTGCGGCACATTAGTGCGGTGCGCGATGCGCCCCTCGGCTGTGCGTGCACCCATGCGCGATGCACGCGCACTGATGCGCAGTGCGCCGGTGCGCTGGGGCGTGCGCGTGCCGCGCGCACTTCCGCGCATGGTGCGCCCTGGTATGCATGGGTTTTTTTTTTTTTTCTGCTTGATACAGCGAGTTGATAACTTAATATAAGTTATATTATTTATATAACATTATACTATGATTATAGTATTACGGGGAACCCCGTAGCAGCGACATCCGGCTCAAGCCTCCAACGAGGGAACATGCGGGAGCTGCACCCGCCAACAGGTGCTTAAAGAATTAGCCTTTCTTTTTTTATTTTAAAAAAAAGCAGGAAAGTTATATAACATGCATTGTGCTTAAAGAATTAGCCTTTCTTGTTTTATTTAAAAAAAAAGCAGGAAAGTTATATAACATGCATTGATGTCTCTGATTTCACTCTCCATGCAGGAGTCAGGCTCGGTGGCAGCATGCAGAACTCACCTGTAAGTCGTGTTGCACGTGCAATAGTGGCAGTGACATGTCCACCGTTTCCACACACAGCCATCACCAAAGTCAAAAACAGCAGACACGGCACTTAGATCACAGCAAAGGAGAGCATGTCCACAGTTTCCACACACACAGCAATCACCAATGGCAAAAACAGGAGATACAATCATACAACAGTTTCCAAAGAATACAAAAGTTATGAACCGAATTCCAAAGAACACACAAACTGAAAATCTTCAAAAAGAGTAAGAAAGACTCAAAATTTCGGAAACCTTCATCAAAATTTAGAAAATGCGCCGAACACGGGGGACACTTGACATGGTTAAAAGTCCGGCCTTTGAAAAACACGCAACAACGTGAACAGTACTTTGATTGTACTAATTGCCGCCCTACTCTGCCTCCTCCCCCGACTCTTGCCGCTTTCTTCGGACGACGATGACGTCGATTCAGAAGACTGCACTTCGGCCTGGCCACACAGATTGTCATCGTCGTCCTCCATGCCCTTCCTCTTCGGCCTTGCCTCTGCAGCACTGGATGCTTTTGCAGCCTTGGCTGCAGCCGCTTCGTCTTCTGCGGCCTTCTTCGCAGCCTTGGCTGCAGCCTTCTTTGCCGGTGAAAGAGGAGGCCGCCCCCTCTTCCTTTTCGGCGGTGCGACTTCATCACCTCCCTCCTTACTCTTCCCCTTGCGCGTTGGCCGTGCTTCATCGGGCTCGGGTGTTGCTGCCTTTCGTTTCCGTTGCCGACGCCCTGACGCCTCCTCCCTCCCGTGCACCCAATCACCTGCTTGTCGTGCGCTCATGGCACGGTCACGGCCCTTCAGCGTGTAAAGGAATGAAGGTTCGGGCTCTTGGAGGCCCGACTTCCTGCGCAGCTCACGCACTCTATGCTTCCCTGACTTCGTGTTCGCATGCCAAGTGCGTTGCACTGAGCCGAGTAGGGCGATGTCGTCCTCCTCGAGGTCGTCCTCCTCATCATTCTTTTGCCACGTGCGCACCAAAGGGCCATCTCCATCATCATCATCTGCAACCTCTGCCGCGGTTGCATCAGCGGCTCTCCCCTCAATGACTTGCCTGGTCCTGTCTTCGTACCACTCCTCAACCTCCATCTTCGCAAGCTTGTTGTCCTTCCAAGGAATGTGGTTGTCCTCCGTCTCTCCTCGCCCCCTCTGAGTGGTCAATTGGATGTTCCAATTGCTGTAAACCAGCTTCGCCAGTCTCTCGGGCAGGAGTTTGGTGCGCCGCTGTCCGTAGATGAGCTGGTGCAAACTCCAGGTGCGCTCGCACGCGGCCGAAGAGCTCACCTGGCCGAGAAGCTTGATGGCCTGCGGTTGGAGGAGGTCCAATGATCCCCCGAACGCCTCCCACCAGAGTGCTGGTGTTTGCACTTTGGCCTGCTCCTTCGCGTTCAGTGTCCCGAGTGTGCCTTCCCCGCAGACCCAAGTGTCGACTTGCTTGCTGATTTCCCTCAGCAACTCCGTTGGCGCCCACGAATAAAGCCAAATGTTGAACCCTTCGCGGATCTCCGTGTCCCGCAATGTCTGCGACCGGTACTCAGGATCGAGAAACGCTGCAGCGCAATGCAACTCGGATGTCATGAATGCCCACCGGTCCATGAGAATGTTCTCCACCACTACTTTTTCGTCCTGCGTCAGACAGTCGAGGACCCGCATTCGTGCCACGATCTCGTCCATGCCGAAGTACACTTTGCCGACAGTCGCTCCGGGACCGTCCACCAAACGCAACAGCTTGACCACGGGCTCCATGACAGCAATTGCTTTGTCGACCTCGTCCCAAAACCCTTCGCTGTCCACAATGATGCGCGTGACAGCGTTGAATGCAACCACCTGATCGGGCCTCACCAACTTGTCAACCCACGCCACGTTCCCGACGCACAACTCAAGTGGAGTCCTCCCTCTCTTCAGCGACTCCAGCATTTCGAAGTTCGTTGCGAACCTCGTGACGGCTGGGCGTTTGAGTTGGGCGTTCGCGATTCTGTTGAACATTGCGCGAACCTTGTCGATGTTCGTCACAAACTTGCCCACTCGGTTCCCCTTGTCGACGACTTCCTTGATCCAGTCCAACCGTTTGTACATGTCTTCTAATGCCAAGTCCAACGCATGGGCCTTGCAGCCCACACTGAAGATCCCGGGGTACTTCGCCTCCACCATCTTCTCGGCCTTCGCACAGACCCTCGCATTATCCATCACGACGCCAACGATGGACCGCGGACCGACCTCCTCAATGACTCCTTCCAGCAGCTTGAAGTAAGCCGCTGAATCCTTGTCCTTGCCTTCCATGCAAACGGACTTCCAAAACACTGTGCCAATCGGGGAGGAAACCATCACGTTGAGATGTGGTTTGTTCCTCCTGTCCGACCACCCGTCCATTTGCAGCGTGCAGCCCGTCCTCTCCCACCTCCTCACAAGACTCTTCATCTCATCCCCAACAATTTTGTGCTGCCCGTCCAACCGCTTCGTCCTCATCTCGTCCCTCTTGCACGACCACCAACTAGGATGGCTCTTCTTAACTGCGTCGATGAGTTGAAGGAAGTAGTGGTTCTCAATCAAGCTGAACGGTTGATTTGTGCAAATCAGGAAACAATCCAGGTGTCTGCTGGTCTGCTCATTCCGGGTGATGATGTTGTCCGCCTCCTCGATCAGCGTTTGCCTCGTCGGCCGTCCGACCAAGGGTGCAGCGTTCCTGGATGTCGTCGGTGTCGTTGACTCCCCAACAGCTGGAACAGGGGGCCTGCTCGCCGTCGGGGATTGGGCGACCAAGCTGCTCCGAGAGGGAGCACTGCTCGGACCAGCACCCGCACTTCCCTCCCTCCGACAAGGGATTCCGCCTGCATCGTCCCCATTCGAATACCCTCCATCCTCCTCACCCTCTCCTCCGCGTCCAACGAGCGGGTCACACGCTCTAAACCACACTTGCACTTTAAGAAGTGGTCCCTGAGGTTGGTGGCCGACCCAGCGAACCGGGTCTCGCAGTAATTGCAGACATAGTGCTTATGSCCCTTGCTCTTGTGTTTCCCGACCGGACCATTGTCGGTGAAGTGCCTCTTGAGCTGCTCGGTCAACACCTTCTGGAGAGACATTTTCCCCTG